CATTAATTATAAAGGGTAAAACTGATTTTTAAGCGGCAAATGTTAAAGCTGTTTTTGATAACTTTTTTGTGCTGATTACGAATCCGTAAGCATAAAGTTTCCATCAGCTCCAGATTTTGAGAAAAATGTGGTCAAAGTATCAAAGATTAAGTTTTTGGCAATATTGGAGAAGCTGTAGCAAAGAACCAAACGAAGAGGAACGGCTAAGCTCTACTACCTTCCTTTTAAGTACAAACGAGACATACTAGTGCTTTTCGTAAAACCTTAAACGAATTGTTTTTATATTTGTAGATAACGCGGCAGCCGAAGAGCATATCCCAGCACAAAAATTAAAATTAAGTAATGATTTGGTAACTAACAACGGTTACACTCTGTATGGATTCTTTTATAGCGTTTATTTAATAATACATATATCGCCTTTTTGTTTTTAAATATAGGGATACATATCTTTTGTTAATAAAGTAAAATAACTTAAAATTAAAACTGTAATATATGCTTATACATACCACAATTGTTCAGTTACAATTATAACTATGTTATTTCGTAAATGTATGTATATATTATATAATATATGATACAGCTTTTATCACTGCAAATGTGTGTAAAACAGTGGTGCATAACTAAACTGATGGTCGTTGGTAGAAAAACATTATATAGGTTAGTCTTATGAAAAAATAATTTAATACGATTGGGGTAGGCCGATACACGGTTAGCTTTTTTGCATAATTTAATATAAACACTGTCATAAAACGAAAAAATTTATCAAGACTATCACACGGAATATATATTAAAAGTAAAAAGTAAGTAAAAGTAAAAGTAGTAAAAGTGAGACCGAAATTCACTCAATTTCATGAAAAAATAAACAAATGTGCTATCAAAACGGTTCGAAACTCTGATTTAATGTCTACTTTTGCAAAAAGCAGCTTCCGGATATGTATTTCGCGTATAATTCATAAGAATATTTAGAAAATAGGGATTGGTGTCATCAAATGATTAATCTGTTTATAAAGGCTGCATACGAGCTTCAAAACTCATACGTATAGAATTTCACCGAATACGTATAGTGCTTATCATAACTATACGACACCCACATATTGACAAGTTTTGACTATTTATTTTATTAATGTTTAGTTTTAATTATTTTAAAAGTATATAGGAAGTTCACAAGGTGTTGTATGCTGTCGTATTGTTGTATGTCGTAAAATTTAAACGGCTAAATCTATATTAAAGGGGTTCGCAAGCTACTTTAAAAGTCGTATGAAATTTCACACCGTAAAAAAATAGTTGTGCTTTCAGTCCCCTAAACATTTATTTAGCTGTTAAAAACTTTACGACATAAGACAATACGATACCTTGTGAAGTTACCTTCGACAGTCTCTCTCCTTCTCGGCGCATACAACAGCAATTGCCAACAAAGTACAGAGCCGCAACAATGTCCTCAAATCGCTGGCCGGCAGCACTTGGGGCAAGGATAAAGAAACGTTGTTGGCAACATACAAGGCAATTGGCCGGCCGGTTCTAAACCATGCAGCGCTCTTGTGGTCGCCTGGGACTAGCCAGAACACGGCACTACCAACAGCGGCCGGATGCCTCCTGATGACGCCCCAACACCACCTACACGACGAGGCCCAGATGCTCCCAGTCAAGGAGCATAACACAATGCTCTGCAAGCAGTTCCTTGTGGGGAGCCACAGACGTGGTCATTCCAGCAAACAGCCTCTTGCAGAAGAGCCCTCGCCAAGGCACGTCAGGAGGCATCTTTACGAACTGACGGACGAAGTCCAGAGGTTCATTAAACAACCTCTGGACCCGTCAGCCTACCGACAGGCCCTGAACGGCATTCACAGGGAATCAGTCTCGAGTTATGTAGACTTCCACCCTGTGAATGCCGTTCTAGGCACACAACCACCGGACGTAGACGGGACAGAACTTTGTCTGCCTCGGGAGACCCGCACCACAATAGCCCACCTTCGCTCTGGCTATTGCAGCAGACTCAACCCATACCTGAGCAGAATTAATGAGCATGCGCCCAACCAATGCCCGGCATGTGGAAAGTCGCTACATGACTCTCGGCACTTCTTCACATGCCCTGAGAACCCCACCCAGCTGACGCCCCTGTCCTTATGGACAGACCCTGTTGAAGTCGCACACTTCTTGGGCCTCCTCTTAGCTGAGACGGAAGACAACGTTGGCGGATGAACCGACCCGAGCGGGGCTTGGTAACCGCTACAACAACACCTTGTGAACCAAAAATTCAAATCTAAGTCTTAAACTACTACGCTACGCAACGCAACGCTAGAAAAAATCAACAATTTCGAACTTTTTAATTAGATTTCAAGAAATATTTGGAGTAAAGTTGGAAGTAGGTAGGACCTGCCGTTGATTTTAGGTAATTTCTTTCTGTTCACGATGTCAGCCCTTTTCTTCCATACGAAGTATGTTTGACGCTTTTTTTATATGGACAAACAAAAATATTTGTAAAACACAACGGTAAGTCCCGGCTACTTCAGACTTGCACTTTATTACATTTATAATATAAAATTGAATGGGCTACAAAACTGCATACTCCAAATCTTTCTAAGAAATCGAATTAAAAAACTCGATATTTTCACGAAAGTTTGTTGATTTTTTTAAATGTTGCGCAAAGTTTTAAGCTTGGATTTATACGTGTATTGTAAAAGAATAAACTATATTTTTATAAAAAAAATTAACAATAATAAAAAAACTTGTCGATATGTCGATTTTACAATACTTTTGACAAATTTTAAGGTTTGTAGAGGCCAAATGAAATAATATCCAAACATTTGTAACCATACTTGCTTTATTAAACCCCAAACGGATTTAGCTCCATCTTATCACTGTCCAACTATAGTCCGCCATCATATCCTCATTCCAACAACCTTGGTATAGGTGTAAGTATTAAGCACAGATCACACGATTTGTACATTTGCATATATTTGTACATTTTGACAGTTACAGAGAGGTGTTGTTTGGAAAGATGCTATTAAGCTGAACTCGTTTTCGATCAAAATTTCTAGACAACACCACTCTGTGACTACCAAATGTACAAATCGTGTGATCCCTGATTTAGAAAGTTTTCATCATGCATGTGTCAGTTTTCTTAGTTCTCCCAATTAAATTTAAATTGCTATTCAACATACAAAGGCAAAAGTATATGTGTAGTAATAAAGTATTTAATTTAATTGGGGCGACAGTGTCTCCTAGCGGCTTTTGTCAGACAGCCCTATTAACTCATCCCATCTAAGATGCTACAATTCTCCACACATGAATTAGATGCGAATGTTGGCTTTCTCAAATAATCGTTCAGCACAGAAATCAACTGGAAAATAGGCAACGTCCTGATATACATATATACAAACACCGTGCGAAATATTTACAAATGTCCATGAAACTATAAACTTTAGCTAAATGAATTCTCCACATCAAAGAAATCATATTGATGCTTTCCATTTCCAGACAACCGGTCAGGTACGAGCATGATTTTTAATTTCGACCAAACTCAAATACATTGTTTGTTGGTCCAAATAATGAGACACGTATTTTTTCTTTTGGTTCGGAAAATTGTTTCGGCCGAATTAAACGCGATTTTGTTTTTCAGGCAAAAATCGATTATTCGAATTGACAGTGAGAATGCTTTTTTAAAATGCCCATAACTTTGTCAAAATTTAATAGATTCCAACAATGTTTTTACTCAAATGTCAGTAATTCTTGTCACTTCAAGATAGAATGATATAATTATTGATTTTCATTAATTAA